TCTCCCTATTGCTCCATTCATTTTATTCCCAATTTTAATTGTTTTTTTTAAGCTTCTTTAAATTTGGGACACACTGTAAACGCAGGGAAAGGAAGCACATGCGGCTGAGGCAAAGAGCGCAACCCTTCTGACTGTAAACAGGATTTTGCTTTTTCGCCTCTTCCCCACCCAAAAAGGGTGGGAAAGGTTGACCTTTTTTCATCCCCCTCTGCAATGTATTAATCAGGCACCAAAATAAGGAATCTATGAAAAAATATTTGGTGCAAATTAGGTAACAGCAACATGTCCACCACAAGATGAGTAGGGCATCAAACACAACATTTCTTAAGCTAACATGCTCCAGCTGCCATCCATAGAAATAGCTAAAGGACCCCTAACATGTTTCTACATATTCAAGAGGTATATATACAATCCTCATGAAATGCAGGATTGACAGGCCAGACTACCACAACTAGTTCCTTCATGTTCAACACTAAATCTTCTGCAGCACGGGGTCTCTGAGCTCCGGGAATGCCAGCTCCCTTTCACCGGGCCCGTATCCTGCGTACGTGCAATATCTCCTACTGCTAGATATTGTACTGCCACCTCCTCCACCTCCTCCTCACTAACGTTCCTGCAGACTTTTCCTCTCAATCAAATGGCTCAGAAGGCAAAAAATTTGCTGCAAGGGTTTATGGCCATATGACCTGGTAAGGAAAATGGTGTATCCAGCCAGTCCTTTCAGCTGTCCGAGCCGAGCTGTGTTTCAATGTCCACCCTGCAGATTGGGCATTTCTTGCTGGTGGCCAGCCACTGGTCCACACACACTTGGTGGAAGAGATGCATGCAGGGCAACCGCCTGCAGAGAGAGAAGTACCACATTGTTAAGGATGGAAGAGGTCCAGGGGAACAAGAAAAGCCAGAAAGCAACATCGGATGATTCAAACATCAGTGCTGCCTAGGTGCTACAGCCTTCCCCAGCCATGACAGCTCACATAGGGTAGTAAGTAAAGATGGTGTCCTTCTTGAATAAAAGCCTTTTAGAAAAGCCCACACTCTCCTAAATTGCATTATTCCAGTTATTAATTACCCCAGCTGCTGATTTTTTAACCATTCAGGAGCACTACATTACACTGCAAAGCCTCTTGGTTTTTCATCATTGAGGCTCATTAGCAGTGAGGTGAGTTCCCATGTGAGTGTCTGCTTTTCACCTACATCACATTAATCATCAATTTGTTTACTGTCGTGAGTCAGAGGGACCCTGAACCACAAGGATCCACAGCAAGAGGGTCAGGGTTTTTCTTGATGGTTTAAGGCAATTAAAGGATGAGGAGCAGGACCAGGTAGTGTAGCTGCACTGCAGCTCCTTCAGCCATGGTAGCTCAGCCTCTTGCAATTGCTTGTCCCCATCCTCTGTCACAGGCAGAGATTTGACCCAGCCAAGAGCCTGGAGATGTCTGTGGGGCTTTGTTGCTGGCTCAGGACAGCTCCTAAATAGCATTTTCCAGACCCTGCAACAGCCCAAGTGAGTTTGTCAGGACAAGAACAGGGACAAGCCCACCAGCATGTGGCAGCCCTAATCCCATTAAACACAACTCAGATGGCATTCGGAGGCAGAAGAGCAGATGGAAAGATCATACCTGACATCTTCTCCATCTTCGAGCATGGACAGACAGATTGTGCATTTCTCATCAGTGTCAGACTCCTCTCCATCCTCTTGACCAGCTTTGCCCTCCTGCGGTCTTCTCTGCAGCAAGGTTAAAGACATAACCAACAAATTGGTTAGGACTTGATTTTCTAAGGCTCTCCCAGGCCTGGGCATTTATATGAAGGTAAATAATAAGATCTTCATGTACCAGCCAGATCCTCCAGTTTGGGGAAGCCAAAACAGCCAGTGAGTGGAGGATGCCAACATGCTTCTGGTTGGCACATCTCCTCCTGGGGCCAGTAGCAATGGGACTGGTGGTAGTGTCCCACAGAGCAGCCTGTCCCCTGCTGCCCTAACACAGCCCTCCCCACCTGCAGTGGAGATGGCCCAACATCTCTTTTTCTGGAGGCTTCTCCTGGACAACCCAAAGCACATGGGGCCACCACCACCAGGAAGGGCAACCACTGTGCCCCTTGAGAACTTAGCCACTGGCCTAGCCACATGCTGTGCCATGGGGCAGCACTTAGCCAGTCTTTTCTCCCTTTTTCTCTTCCCCACACACATCCATTCCTATTACTATATTTTTTCTGAATCCACTGGAGATGCACTCAGAGATGAGCACAGCAGGAGTCAACTCACATCATATGTGGGCAATGCAATGTCTCTGCTTCTAACTGCCTAGCTGAAAATTACTAACATATGAAATTACTACCCAAACAAGCATTTTGCCCATTTTCTACTCAGCACAACCCAAAAACATAGCACCATCTCCTTGTAGGCAGGAGACAGCTCCAGTAGAGGAGATACCCCTCACAAAGTGACTGGAGGCCCACCAGTTATCAAAGCACCATTTCTGGATTTTACATTCCTCACCCATTTTGGGGAATAGTTCGATTGTTGGCCACCAGTTTGACAACCTGAGGACTTCGGCCCACCAAAGATCTTCCTTCTGTCCACTCCGTGCCTACAGCACTTGGACGACTGAGAGAGGCTGCTGGCCATGCTGTGTTTTGGGGGTCTCACCTTCTTGTACTTGTGGGGAAAAGTGAATCTTTCAATGGTGTTCTGGACAGCACCACGGCTCACATTGCCCAGCCTGTCCTCCAGCTGCAACAGCTCCTGTGGCACAGCAACAGTGGCAAAACACCATCAGCATTGATCCCAGCCACAAGGTCCCACCAACCCACCCTACCTGCTGGCAATCAAGGCTCCCTCCTGCCCTTTCCTTCATGGAAATGTCCATCAACCCCAAACTAGTCATGCTAAAATGATGTATCTGAGCCCTGGCACTTAGGCTAATAACTAAAGACTCAAGGCTAAGAGCAGGATATCCTCTAATTCAGAAATTAGGGTGGAATTTGAGCTCTGTTGGAAAACAAAACCCTGTAGAACTCGAGTGCTTTCATAGAATCCCAGCCTGGTTTGTGCTGGAAGAGACCTTAAAGCTCATGCAGTTCCAACCCCCTGCCACAGGCAGGGGTACCTTCCACTACACCAGGGTGCTCCAAGCCCCTGTGTCCAACCTGGCCCTGCGCCCTGCCAGGGATGGTGCAGCCACAGCTTCTCTGGGCACCTTGTGCCAGCACCTCAGCACCCTCACAGGGAAGAACTTCTGCCTAAGAGTTCATCTCAATCTCCCCTGTGTCAGGTTAAAGCCATTCCCCTTGTCTTGTCCCTTTGGGCCATTGTCCAAAGCCCCTCTCCAGGTTTCTTGTAGTCTCTTCAGTCACTGGGAGCTGCTCTAAAGTCTCCCTGGAGCCTTCTCTTCTTTGTTGGCAGACATGGCCAACATGACATCCCTATGTCTTATCCCTGTGACATGACTCCCTAGTTATAGTCAACCTGAGCCAGATGCAGGCTTTTTGGAGTAAACCAGCTTTTACCAGACCCACACAAACTTTGCTTCCCAGTTATTACTAAAGTTGCTGTAAGACTCAGTGTAACTGCCAGGCCACAAAACACTTACAAGTTTATGCCACAGCTTGCATAGATTCCCAGAATTTAAAGTTAAATGATAATTCCAGCCCCCGAGATACGTACTTCATAGCTCTCCCGCACAGCAGATGTGTGCCTGCTTGGGTTCAGTCCCTGAAGAGCAAGTAGCTGCAGCTGAGGATAAGGGTAATTTCTGATTTCATGAACAACCTGTGAGAAGTGATGGAGAAGAATAAAGACACCTATACTTCACATAGAAATCCCTTGTGTATCTTGACTTAAATCTAGTGCTTTGAAAAACCAAAATGAAAGAGCAGACTGGCGCCTTCCCACAGTGGAAGCCTTTTAATAACCAAAAAAAAGAGGTTTTATTAACTAGATCTCCTATAAATGATAACTAACAACATGCATTTCTTCTGAATAAACTGTTACAATAGTTTCTGTTGTACCTGTAACATTGCAGTACCAACCTCTAAACATGGATCAGCAGAAAAGGGGATTTTACTTTATTTACTTTTAAATGGGTGGATTTCTCTCCATCCAAGCTTTGATTTTTTTTAAGCTTCACTGTAGTACACAGGTGTCAGGGTCTAACTATGGGGGCGAGTTAAAAACACCCTCGTGGGATTTCTGAAGATGCTTTAAGGACTAGAAGTGCTTGGCATGACTCAGCTCCAAACACAGCACCCTGCTAGGAGAAAGGCCAGCAAATGACCCCAGTCAGCCCATCTTCTCATCAAATCCCACCTCCACCTGTGCTAAACCTCTACTGATGGCATCAAGTCTGATGTAGGGAGCAAAGATGTGACAAGGAATGGTCCTCAGGGGCTGAGCCCAGGGAATGGATCACCTATTACCAATCATTATGCATACACAGACCACAGTTTGTTCCAGTATTAATAATACTATTAGTAATAACTACTAAGTCTCTCGCATGCTGAACAGGTTTAGCAGACCAGCTTGTGAACATGGTGCTGCATGCGGTCGATCGAATGTTTTCAGAGAAGCTGAGCTTTTCTTTCCTTTCTCTAATCCAGAGTGCAATGATGCAACATTATCCTTTCAGACACTCCCTCCCACGGCCGGAGATAAGTGGGATTCACAGAAGACAGGTGATAGAAAGATAGCAGCCTTTATTTTGACTGCCTTCTGGCAGACAATGCATAAAACATTTCTTGGTAAAAGCGTTTCACTTACCATCTGTGTTGAGGATGTGCTTCTGGGGAAGTGGTGCATCCGAGGTGTAGCTAAGTAATGCTGATAGGGCTGAGGGACTGGACGGACCTGGAACTGGGCATGAGTCAGTCCTGCATCGACACTGAGGTCCCTGTGGGCACAAGGATGAAGATATGGATTTTAGACTGGAGATCAGGAGCAATTTCTTCCCCAAAGGGTGGTCAGGCACTGGAACAGGCTGCCCAGGGCAGTGGTGGAGTCGCTATCCCTGGAAATGTTCAAAAAACATGGAGTTAGGCCCTCAGTGACATGGTTTAGTGGAGGACTTGGCAGTCCTGGTGTAAAAGTTCAGTTTGGTGATCTTAAATGTCTTTTCCAACCTAGTTTGTTCATGATTCTATGATTCTATGGCTTTGACTGCATGGTTTATCCCAAGTCAGGTCATGCTCACAGGACAACCTCCACTGGTGGGCTCTGGGCTGCTATGGGTTCCTCAAACTAGGATGATGCTATTGCCTGGAAGGGAGTTTCCTCCAGTTTGGACAATCCCCCATGACTGCACTAGCACAAAGGAATGAGGGGTTGTTTTTATGCCAGTTAGATTTTGAGATAGCCAGGGTCAAGAGCTGCACAGACTCAGCCTGCTAATTTCAGAGCCAGAGCATATTGGTGGCTCTAATCAATACCAAGGCTTGGTAACCCAACCCAGCCAGACCACCTCCTCCCTGTGCTGCCATCACTGCAAGCAATTACATTTTGCCTTGAATGTTTTGCAGGAATACAGCTAGTTGCTCAGGGAACACACCAATGAATCATCCAGAGTAGTTAGGAGCCAATTAGGCACCTTCTGGGGGCTTTTTGATGTGCCTGTGCTCCCCTTGGAAATCTCCCAGGCCACATCATGGTAGGACTTGGGAAGGCATGTGAGACTGCACCTTGACTGAACCCATCCTCAGGGAGCTCCAGAACTGCTCTTTGTGCAGAAGGTAAGAGATTTATGGATGAGGTTGTCGTAGGAAAGGGTGTCACACAACCAGCAGGCGAGCATAAATGAATCATAGAATCACAGAATCATAGAATGGTTTGGGTTGGAAAGGACCTTAAGATCATAAGCACTTAAAAGATCATCTAGTCCCACCCTCCTGCCATAGGCAGGGACACCTCCCACTAGGCAATGAAGCAGGACATCCCCAATGGTCCTGCTTGCATGCATTCATCCTGGCCTGGGCAAGCAGAGCTGGGATCTCATCTTGGTGCGTTTAGGTGGATTTTTCCTCCAGAAAAATAATCCAGCTCAATCCCAGTGTTTGGCATGACCAAGATCTTGGCAAACACCACAGCTCTGCCCCATCCAGCATGCAACGACAAACTACAATCCCATCCCCACACCTTGTGTGGAGGAGACGAGAGAAGACCTAACACAGCCCATCTGTCTATAATCCAATTATCTGATCACTCATCTGTCCAGCTAGAGCATCTCAGCAAATAAGTACATCATTTGCTTTATCATAATTACAAAAGCTAGAGCTCTAATAACCGTTGTCTTCACATTTGCCAGAGCAAAGCTAATTAGATCACAGGGGTGGCTTCCCATTTCAGCCTCAAACTTCCCTTCCCCTCTGTGGAGGACAGCAGCAGTAAGTGCCACGGCTTGTTAGGAGCAACCCAGACACGTCCTCCAGCAGCTGGGAAACTGCTTTCAACCAACAGCAGGTAATAGATATGAAGGGACGGTAAATGCAGGAATCTGTTGCCCAGAACTGCCTACATACCAGGCACCAGTTCCTGTGCTCTAGTACTCTCTGATAAGACACCCCACACCGAGGTGATGCAAAGAGACAGACTATCTTTGCTGGCCCTGTGCTAGCCATGTGCTAGACAGACAAAATCTGGCAGATGATAAAACACAGCAGGCGACTGGCAGGAGCACAACCAGGGTGAGAAGCGGCAGGACTGGGCACTTTCCAGCTCCTGTGTCACAATTTTGGATGTTTATCCAATTGGTTAAGACTGTTCCTAGGTGGATGGAAGGCTCAATTGGAAATCAGGAGGTTTGGGTCCATTCCCAGGCCTGTCAGTGGCCTGATACATGACCTTGACCGCTTTCTCTCTGCCTTCCAATATTCATTGTCTAAAAAATAGATGTGATAATTCATGGAGTGCTTTGAGATTAAGGGCTGCAGAGATCTGTCAAAGATGAATGGCCATTATTAACTTGCACAAGTAATTGCATTAACAACATTGCTGAACTGTTAGTGCATTGGTGCATCTAAAGCCTTACAATTGAATGCTGAGGCCCCTGAAGTGATGCTGTGGTACTACAGAAGATTCCAAAGCAGAAGACCGCATGAAACAGTGTTTGGGAATGAATAAATAGAGCACATTAGGTGAAGAAAACCAAAACCAACCATCATTTTCAAGTCTGTGCTATGTGGATGACTGTACAACATATTGATACTTGGATGCGAGGTTCAAGAGCTCTGATGCTTATGGTACATGGGCTGCCAACAACCAGCAAGTCAAGGATAACAGGTTGAATGGTCGTCACTAAATGTGTATGCAGAAGATGATTTAAAGAACCAAATGGGAGTTTATTTATTCTTCACCAGGGGATTTTAATCGAGGTTGGGCTGTTTGAGATGACTGATCATGTTCAGATCTTCCTTCCATCCCCATTTCTCGCAACAGTGCCTACAACTGCTGCTGCTTATGCAGTGGTAACACATTAGAGCAAAGTTTTTGTATCTGTCACTGGGCAAAACTCAACATGTGCCCCGAGGGGAAGTGAGTCACCCAAATATATATACACAGTATATGATTTCTGTCATCCTTACTCCTTTGGTTTTATAAGGCTATGAAGCAACACAGGGAGGGGAAAGGAGGGAGGAGGAGGGGAACATAAAGTGATGCTTTATCAGATCCTTATAATGATTATAATTAAACACTCTGTGATGAAAGAGAGACAGAAAGAATGGCTCTATCCAGATGGTACCTGAACCACTTTGCAAACTGATTTGAACAATGTCATCTTGACCAAATTCAGCCCACAGTGGTGCCAGTAATGGGAACACCTGAGAAGAAAATAGCAGAAGGATCTGGCCATACTTTAGGTTGTGTATTATTAACCTGGAGGGGGAAAACCTACCCTGTGTTAAAAGGACTCTCCATTTGCAGAGTGAAGTGCTCAGATGTTAGGAAATGCCATAATTAAGATTTCCTGTGCCATTTTATTTTGGTCCCCTTGTGCATACTCATTGTGATTGTCTCTAATTGCATGTTCACATGCTATTTCTTCCATTCATTCAGTGAACAGAATGGACTTCCCTCAGTTAACAAGCTCAGTATCATGTTTTTATTTTCTTATTCTTCCAAATAGGGGCCCATTAATACTAACTGAGCAAGAGATCAAGACCTGCTCTGAAAATGAAACGGTCAATTCCCTGCTCATTTGTTCCAGGGTATCCAACACTACAGTGGGAGAACAATTAACAGCTATTAATTCATTCGCACCACCCTGTGAGACAGGTCAGCACAGTGCTCCCTTATTTAGACCCCAGAAGAAGCTGTGGACACTGTTTTTTGAGTGCCTGGTGGGCAGCAGAAGATCTAGTTTGGACAGAGACATTGGTCTACAGGACCAACTACAGGACCCTGGCTATGCCCTTCAGCATGAAAAGCCCCTTTGGAAGACTAATGCTTGGCTGGATGCTATGTCCATAGATGAAGAGTTATGGGCAATATTAACACCTCAGTGTTATCATATACATGCATATAGATGGAGCAAGTCCAGAGGAGGCCTCAAGGATGATCAGGGGCTGGAGCACCTCCCGTATGAAGACAGGCTGAGAAAGTTTGGGCTGTTCAACCTGGAGAAAAGGAGCTGCATGGAGCCCTCAGAGCAGCCTTCCAGTATTTGAAGGGGGCTACAAGGATGTTGGAGAGGGACTTTTTGTCAGGGACTCTTCATCAGGGAGTCTAGTGACAGGACAAGAGGTGATGGGTTTAAACTTAAACAGGGGAGATTTAGGTTAGATATAAGGAAAACATTTTTTACTATGAGGGTGGTGAGGCACTGGAACATGCTGCTCAAGGAAGTTGTGAACATTCCATCCCTGGCAGTGTTCAAGGCCAAGGTGGACGGGCCCTTGCGCAACCTGGTCTAGTGGAAGGCATCCCTGCCCATGGCAGGGGGGTGAAAGCAGATGATTTTAATGTCCTTTCCAACCCAAACCACTCTATGATTCTATAAGGGCTTTAGCCAAGAGGGCCTTCCGAAGATGAGTTTCACATTGCACACTCCCCACATTGTATCTGTTGAGTTCAGCCATTAACTTCCATGAAGCCCTGATCCATGGTGACATTCATCAACACTTGCACCCTTCCAGTACTTTTCAAACACACTAGTGAAATGTGGAAGACTTACCAATCTGTGCCTTCGGCTAAATACCTGGGCTGGGCCCCTATGGGTTGCGGAGTTTGCAGTTGGTGGCTGAAGTCAAAGCTGGGGTGTAGGCGATGAGGCTGGACAGACATGCGCTCTTGAGCCCGCCTGTGGTGAGGAGACAGAGAGTGAGTGAGCCACGCAGCACCACCGGTATGTACAGCTCCTCCTCAGAGTATGCCTCAATGAACCAAGAGATAGAGCCGTACAGTTGGGATTGTGAATATGCCCCATCCCTGGCAGTGTTCAAAGCCAGGTTAGACAGGGCTTGGAGCAACCTGCTCTAGTGGAAGGTGTCCCTGCCTGTGGCAAAGGGTTGGAACTGTATGAGCTTTAAGGTCCCTTTCAACACAAACCAGGCTGGGATTCTATGTGTTCAATAGAAAAGAGTCCAGGCAGGTGTCAGGGGTGATGGGAAGTGGCTATGTCATTTACTCATGGTCACACAGACATAATGCAGACCTCCACTTTCCCCCTTGCCCCCGTGGCATCCAGATATGCTCACTTTACAGGAGATGCTACTACTCTCATGGAGAGAAAAAGAAGAAACCAAACAACTTCTTCCTCAGCAGCTTTGTGCCATTTGCACTATTTTATTTTTCACTGCCAGCCCCATAAACAAGACAAGATAAAACGTGTCCTTGCTTCAGCCATTATCCATCATCATAAAGAAGCTGCAGGTTGTCTCGTCTCCCCATGCAGTCCATAAACTCCTGGGAAACCTCATTCATAACAGGATTACTGAGGAGTAACTGAAAGCAGAATTTACTCTCGCAGGTCTTTGCCAATATTTCTCTGGATGATGGACAGGCCAGGCTGGGATCCAGCTCCTTCTCCCTCAGCTCTGCTGCCTTTGCAGTCAAGGAAAGGAAAATGGTAGAAAATGTAACAATGTTTTTCTAAGAATTTGAGTCTCTTCCCATGATTATTGCTTATTTGAATTACTCAGGGGTAGCACATGTGCTGTTTGATCAGTATCCCAATTTGGATAAAGACAAGGTGAATGCACAAGCAGGATTTGCATTACAGACTCATACTCCTTGCTCGCTGCCGAGTCCCTGCTTATGAGTGAAGCCATCACAAAACAAATCTATGGGAAAACACTAGAGCAAATGCAGCAGAGAACAGCTAGATAAAGAATTTTTCATGCAGTCACAGTTCAGAGGCTTCACTTTTAAAGATGCAACCCAGATTCCCATTACTGGAATCTCATGCCTGTAACCTATGAGGTTTCTGACACCCTCCTCTGATGCAGGTGTGCTTTCAGAAACAGGATGTGGGACCAGGCAAGATGTTCCTGACCTTTTCCACACCACAACCCACTTCCAAATGTAACACTGACAGCATCTACCAAAGCAGCTTCTGCGTGGAATTATGCTCTGTGCTTTTATTTGAATTCAGCTTATGACTAAGAGATAAACACTTGTATCATCAGTGCCTCAGCCTTGCACATATTTGCTACCCAGTTATTAACTAATCATTAAATTCACCTAAAACCCCAGCTTATGCAAAACAAAACAAGGATGGGAAGAACACACAATTTTCAGGCAGAAGGAGTATGGAGAGAGTGTTTTCTGTCTGCAGCATTCTTTCCAAATGAAGCATTATCACAAAGACTCATCCTCTGATTCTTGATCCATGGGTACAACCCACAAATAGCTTCCATATGTTTCCAAAAAAAGCGTTCCTCTCCTACATGCTATCTAAACCCCTCTCTCAAGAAAAACAATCAGGACAAGGCCAGGCATCCATTTCCACCTCTGCTGAGTAATTCTCTCTGCAGTCATGAGCCCAGTCTGAATTTAGGCTGCTTTCTGTGATTGAATGTGCTGCAGGTCAACAGCATCACTCCCTCTTAGAGCTGGGAAGCCTACCTAGACCCAGAGGAGCAAGATCTTCATGTGCAAAACATGATGGGACACGTGGGTACAATCTCTGATGTGGTTTTAAAAGAGCAGCTGTGAGGAGGTAGCTCATACATACAGTCTATTGCTCTCTCTGCCATGAAGGACAGGTTCATTGCAACACCAAAGTGTTACTAACATGATTCTCTTACAAGTAACAATAATGGGCGACCATGGGACATACTAGATGAGCATGTTCTATATCCCATGGGAAAGGTACACCTTCAGGTGCAACTTGCCCTGCGTCTTCTCTTCTGGTGGATGTATTTCAGGGGTACACAATAAACTTGTGAAGAAAATCCAACATTACCAGCATGTGAGTCTGAAATGTGTCCAGAGAAGGGCAGTGGAGCTGGTGAAGGGCCTGGAGCACAAGTATGATGAAGAATGGCTGAGGGACCTTGGGGGTATAGTCTGGAGAAGAGAAGGCTCAGGGGGGACCATATCGCTATCTGCAACTACCGGAAAGAAGGACGGAGAAGGAAGGGGGCCAGTCTCTGTTTCCAAGAAACAAGTGACAGGACAAAAGGAAATGGTCTCAAGCTGCACCAGGGGTGGTTTAGACTGGAGATTGGGAACAATTTCTTCCCCATAGGGTGGTCAGGCATTGGAACAGGCTGCCCAGGGCAGTGGTGAAGTCACCATCCCTGGAAGTGTTCACAAACTGCATAGTGACATGGTTTAGTGGTGGCCTTGACAGCGCTGGGGTAACAGTTCGACTTGGTGAACTTAAAGTTCTTTTCCAACCTATTTGATTCTGTGACTCTATGTCTCTATGTACTTTCAGGTTTTTGCAGGAGCCACTTTGCTGAAGTGAGGCTAAGGCAGGTTCTCAGCATCCTACAGGACAAGTAGGTTCCCCTTACCTGTGATGGGGCATAAGCCGGCGGTGCTGTGCCTCAAGGAGCTGCTGCTGGAGGAGGTATTGCTGGTGTAGCGCCTGAGGTAGGAAGGAGGGTCCGGCCACGTCCTGGAAGGGCAGGGCTGGCACTGGGGCCAGGGGCTGGTGCAGGGGACCGCTGTGCTGGTGCGGGGGGGCCATGTGAGGAGTCAGCCCTGGCTGGGGCTGCACTGCGTGGGGCAGGGCGAAGTCAGTGGGGAGCTGAGGCTGGGGACCCAGGTGGAAATGCCGGCAGGAGGTAGCATGGGGATGCTGAGACCTTTGAAATGGAGCACCTGGAAGAGAAGAGCACAGCTGTCACAGGGGCCAGCAGTGACCAGGGTAGCCCAGCACAGTGGTTGGCCATCCAGGGCAAGAACTGGGCAAACATCAGTTTTCTCCTCTGCTAAAAGGGTTAAAAAGAAAGAGAACAGGTCAGTTAACATTGATTATATGGGAAATACTGATTTTGACTAATAGTTTTTCTCCTCCAGAGAACATTGGAACCAAAACATATGTTTGATTTCAATGTGACTTTTTGGCTCCAAATTGAAGTGTGTACTAATCAAAACCGCTTCAGCTTGGTTTAGTTTTCCTGTCTTAAAGAGAAAAGAAGAAAGGTTTTTATAGTGCCTGTAGTGATAGGTCAAGAGGTGGTGGTTTTAAGCTAAAAGAGGAGAGATTCAGATTAGGTATGAGGAAGAAATTGTTCATTGTGAAGGCTGTGAAACACTGGCACAGGTTGCCCAGAGACCTGGTAGATGCTCCATCCCTGGAAACATTCAAGGCCAGGTTGTGCATAGCTCTGAGCAACCTGGTGTAGTTGAAGATGTCCCTGCTCATTGCAGGGGGGTTGGAACTAGATGACCTTTGAAAGTTTCTTCCAGCCCAAACCATTTAATGATTCTATGATACAGCCTCAGCATTTTAGAAAAGGGGAAAAAAACAACAGTTTTTGAAAATATGTTTCATGGATTATGAGCTCACTGAAGTTTTCAAAGTTTGCTGACTTTCTAAGCCGTTCAACGTATTTCTTTGCCTGTCTAAATATGCCTCATAGGCAAGGAAATAATTCTGCTCTAAGAAACTGCCTCTCGCTGACTGCAGTACATAAATGAGACCTTCCACATCTGAGGGCCAGGATTAAGACCACGTGTCTTTGCTGAGACCCTTCAATAGCCTATTCTTGTGAGCTGCATGCAGGGAGAGGGTGGCTGCAAGAAACATGACAGAGACAGCTATGAGACCAGCCATGAAACTGGTGGGAATGAGGAAGAAATGAGGTGTGAAAGTCATCTCTAGTGGAGCTTTTTGCAAAACATCTGGCACTGGATTTTGCCTTGTTGAAGATCCCTGTTTGGATAGGTCCTTGGCCCAATACAGCATGTTAATTCCTATATTCACTGAGCATTTACAGACATCATGGTAAAACTTCTGGCTCTTCAGCTAGTGAAAGAGTCAACTCTGAGGTGAAGAATGGCTCCAGTGAAGCTGTTATAGATGCCTCTTTGCTGAGGATCAGCCCCAGAATAGAACATCTACTCTTTAGTGTTTCGAACACCTTCCTAAAAACTTCCTCTTCCTTTTTTAATCTTTGGGAAGGGCACAAAATATCCAGGAACAATAGCACCAGGAGACACTGAGTGTCATCCCAAGACCTGCACATCATGCCTTCTTCACCCAGATCCCTTCTGCTCCCACCTCCCAAGGCAGGTCCAGTCCATCACAGCAGCCCAGGGAGCCCCAAATGCTTTCTGTTCATACCTCTATGGAAACAAAAGATGCACAAAGCATGTCAAATATCAGCAAGAGAAATAACGGGATAAGACCTAACAAACAAATGGTTTGCAAAACTGTGTGTAAGTAATTACTGCATCTCTTAAACACAAGATAATCTTCCACAGAGCCCCTCTGAGAGAGGCAGTGGGTAACAAATATGTGTGCCACCAGCAGTGGCACTTCTTAAGGTGATAATTTCTCATGCTGTCAGATAACAGTGTGATTTGACTATGTTATCAATTAAAATCAGATGGGGTGCGATCAGAACTGCCATTCCTCGGTGACAGATCTGCAAGCCCTGACCAAATAGTCATCCACATACCCCACTCCTCCAGCATTGGTCATATTTGTTGCTGTCACCAATTTTCTGTACCCCACAGACATCTAAAGGCTAAATACCCATCTTAAATGGGGATTCTGTGCTGCCCTGGCACATTGTTAAAGCTAAGCAACACCATAGTCATGAGGAGATGCCTCCTAACTGCTGTGTTTGTTGGGTACTTGCAAAGCAACTCACGGTGAATTGCTCAGCCTTTAATGGTCACAAATTCCTCCCCATGAAAAGCTGCTACTGGTGAGCCATTTTATACCTGAAGGTCTTCACAGGGCCTGAAAACAAGGTGCAAGAGCAGGTAAAAACGCTAGTCCCTCTGCACAGCCAAACACACCAGCCTGTGACACTGGTGTAGCTGTATTTCAGGCACAACCAGTTTACAGTGACACAAGACAGTGAAACTAAAGTGATATTCCCCTCCATTTACTGGGACACTTTCTATAGCAGTAAAGCAGAAAGTAAAGTAAAGCAGAAAAAGCCTGTCTCTCATCTCTTGATACCTAGTGCAACCTTAGCTAAGGATTTTCAGCTTTTTGCTGTATCTTGGGAGGCCTTAGTCTGGTTTAGTGAAACATCTGCAGGACCTATCAAACTCCAGAGCTGCTAATTGCATCCTCCATGAGCCATATTCCCAGTGGCTGCAGGAAGGCTAAGTTGCTCTGGGATCAGCAAGGCAGATACCTTCTCTCAGCTCAGTGAGCTTGCGTTTTGGTCCTCATCCTACAGGAGGATTCTCCTCCTTTGGGATACTTTGGTTTTGCAGGAAGGGGTGTCAGCCAGGTCTTGGGTGGTTCTTTTGACGGCCTATCCCAAAGGAACCTAGCAGAGTCATCAGCTTTGTTGCAAATACCTCTCTTCTCCACCTAAAGAGGGAGGGAGAAGCACAGTGTCCTTGCTGCAGAAGTAACACAGTCCTCACTGGCCCTAAGAGGCTTTTGACCTGAGTCCAACCTGGAAACATGTGTCCCCATGTCCAGCCTGCTGGCCAGGAGGACAGGTCTACCCTGCTGTGTGAGGCCCATTGACATTCTCCTGGGAGCATGAGTAGCTCCAGCTGCTCATATCTCAAGCCATGGAGCACTGATTTCTCTGAGATCGTTGTAAGGCTGCCCACCAGCCAGAAATTCTTCTCTCCTAGTCCTGTTGGTTCTTCCTTTCATTTAAGTGCTGTTGCTGCAGCAGATGACAGTTCAGAGCAACATCACATCAGCAGCTCTGAGATGAGTAGTGCGTTACATCTGTGTCAGCAAAGCAGACAACTTAGTACAGTTTTGTGCAGGCTCTCATTAACTGGTTGAGGCTAAACATCACTAAAATCAAAGACATTTGTCTCAATGCAAGCATCTAAACTGAGTTATTTCTCAGCAGAGCACAATATATTTCTTCCTTCCCCATGTTTGCCTTTCTGCCCTCTCCACATCAGTTCCTTATGCTCTTCTGTTGACCATACACATTTGCAAGGTCTGCTGTTTTTCTCAGCCTGCCCACCCATACACCCAATTTCTCAGCATGGACACCCCTGTCTGCTTTACATGGTCTTGGCCTCAGCAAAGCTCCAAAGGCAGCTAATGCCTGAGACTAGATAAGCCAAGTCTAAAAAGGGACACCTCACACTAGACTATGTCACCCAAGGCTCTGTCCAGCCTTGGTGTTGAACACTGCCAGGGATGGACCATTCACAACTTCTGTGGGCAACCTGGAAGGCAACTTGCCTCACCACCCTCACAGTCAAGAACTCATTCCTTATATCTAACCTGAACTTCCCTGTTTATGTCTGAACCTATCACCCTTTGTCCTACTGCTACCGTCCCTGATGAAGAGCACCCTTGTAGGCCCCTGTCAGATACTGGAAGCTGCTCTGACATCTTAATGCAGCCTTCTCCTCTCCAGGCTGAACAGCCCCAACTTTCTCAGCCTGTCTTCACACAGGACGTGCAGCCCCTGATCATCCTCATGACCCTCCAATCTGTGCTTGTTAACTCCTGATGCTGCCAGAACATGAGTACAGATCAGTAGCTGTCCTGGCTAGCCTGGCTCACCTCCACTACTGCCATGGTCACTGTGGCTTCACACCGTGATGCTAAGGACCCACCACGGAGCAGGGTTTTCTGTGTTCCCAAAACAGCCATACAGCTCAGCAACCGAGGAGGTATAAATTTGTTTTTAGAAAGCTAACAGATGATGCAGACATGTGGAAAGCTGAACCTGTTCGGCTGCTCACTGTTTCCACCCTTGCAACACAGCGGAAACCCACAGGGAAACTCATCACGTCCGCCTCAATGCTGCTTTCTCACTTCCACAGCTTTTCCTCTTTCCCCCCATCTGAGTTCTACAGTTATATTTATTGTTTCTATACATTTTCTGAAGCAGGCTGGATGTTTTTCATTAAAAGAAGTGCTGCCACTTCCTTCACACCCCCAGGTGAACCCTACAATACCATAACTTCATCTATTATTGCAGGTTGGTTCGTGACATAGAGTCACAGAAATGTACTGGTCTGATATTGGGTGTTTCTGTCAGTGGGGAGTCTCCTTTAGTATCAGTCATGATTTGACTATGTCTGTGAGCATGCAAATTTGTAAATCCAGCAATACTTCACTCATAAAGGCTCAAGGGATCTACGTTACCACTAAACACTGACCCATCTCAGAGATGCAAAGCCTTTGGGTAATCCCTGCAGAGAGGATGCTACGGGATTTATGAAAAGAAGACCCCAGAAAGCAGAACTATCTAGTTCTACCTCCTTTCCTCATGGAAACCACATATTTGATACAGTCAGGCTACTGGTAAGGAACAGGGTTGAGGCCCAGAACTGGTGCTGGGAATAGGTGTCTTGAGCAGACAGCTGCAGCTCAGGGAGCCCAGCGCCTTTGAGAGCAAAACAAAATCTGTCTGATGCTGTTAAGCTGCCTGTGATGCATGTGCATTCTTCCACTGGGTAAGGCAACCTGGCCAGCTTGTCAAGGCATTCATGGTCTGTGTGTGGGCATGCAGGGGATGGGGGGCAGTGGGGAGGCTGGGGCTGTTTTTACATCTCTATCCCATCGCTCAGGCAGGGACATGGCAGCTCCTGGCTTCACTCACCAGCAAGCTTTGCCACCATGGAAGATCTGCCCATCGCAATCAGAGCTGTGCTGTCTCAGTTGTTTCGCATTGATTAGAGTCCTCACAATGCCTCCTCCT